CACATACATGTATTTTTTGTTCAAGTGAACACTTTCCTACAGAGTGCACTAAAAGAACAGACACAAGGCTGTTCTTTGACCTATAATTGTTTACTTTCTCACATTGTGACTTGGATGGATAGCTGTCTCACTGGCACTCATACCACATCTTCTTATTTATACAAACACTAGAAATCAAATTGTCAAACAGTTATGCCATAACTGTTTAGGGTCACACCTCATGGCTGCGTAATTCTACAAAAGATGCTAAAAGTGTAGTAGAATGCATCATACTAGCATATGCAAAGGAAAAGATTTCATTACAGGAAAGACACAGGAGTTGAAAATACCACAGACAGCTATCGACGTGATCGATTGAAATAACAGACAAGATATGTATAATGTATTCACAACAAAGTCACGACATTCCTCTTAAAATAGCTATTGCACCAGTTATGGGTAACAAACAAGGAGTAGATTTAACATCTTCTTTGATGAGGGAACATAGCATTCTTCCATACCTAAAAAATTAGCAGATGAATTGGAGATAAAATTTACAGTAATAGTCAGCATTCATCTGACTGTGTTCAGAGATTTATCACAGAATGTTCGAAATTTAAACGCTATTACATTACAACTTCAGAAAAACAGGAGAAAAGGTGCGTATCAACACACTCGTTAAACTTGCACATTCTGTGGAAAGTGGAGAATGTTTCGAAATTGACTTACTAATAGGTGCCAACTACTACTGGGAAATTATCAAGGACAAAGTTATTTATAGGGGAAAAGGACCCACCTCTATCCATGAGTGAGTCAAAGATCTGATTTGTTATCAGGACCAATCAGTAAAAACAATAGCCAACCTTCAATATCTACAGTTCTTTTGAACGTCATTTAGTCACATCAATTTGAGGAGACAGACATTGAAAATTCCTGAACACTTGAATCAATAGGAATCAATACATGTGAAAACAAGGAGAACACCAGCTATTTACAGACATACCAGGACACAACTATTGACCATGAGAAAAGAAAGTACATGGAAAGGTTGCCATGGAAAGATGACCATCAAGATCTGCCTTCAAATATCAGTTGCCAAAAGTAGGACAGAGAACATATCGCAATGGCTCGTACAAAGCTGACCGCACCTAAATCCATTCGCGGAAAAGCTCCAAGGAAGGAACTTGCCACCAAGGAAGCTTGTAAGAGTACACCTGCAACTTGTAGAGTCAAGAAGCCAAATAGATACAGGCCAGGAACAAGTAACATGAAAAGAAGACTATATTTCGTGTAGCTGCCATATGTCTCAAAAGAAAAGTTTATGAATGGACTAAAAGATAAACTTCAATAGGGATTAGTGATGGTTAAAGTGACTAATGTTTTATTTGAGATGGACATTCATTTTACATTTCTTTAATCTATATTGTGAACTTAATCTTTCCATTTTTCTTTATTACATATTTCACTTTTGTCGGCCCCCAGAATGTCTGAAAATACGTGAAGTACTAACATTGAACTATGGTAACATTGTAGCCATAACGCAGTGATGTATGATGTTATTGTATAGATTTCATAATTATTTTGACAATAAAACGTATTTTGTAATCACAACATAGTTTTAATACTGAGATTCTACAACAGGTGTGTTGTGAACAAGATAGAAATGTATAGGTGAAAAATACAGGCCACAAACTGTGTGTGCATGTCTTTTTTTTTTTTTTTGGGGGGGGGGTGTCTATTTAAGCAGTGCTCACAGTATTACTAGTTCATCATAAAAATTCATTTAAAGCATTAAGACGGGCTAAAAGGGCAACGGACATATCATGCTCTCATGGCGCAGCTCTTTATTTATACTTGTAGATAGTTGTTTTTCAGAGTCATTTTTGTCTAGCCTGCGACAAAAGTCGCAGCATGCGAGACATAGGTATTCCTGCGATGGCGACATAAACTATTTGTATAAAGCTTTATATTTCAGAAGGTAGACAACCTGGATGCTTCATATCTTGTATGCAGATACCTTACGTTACGAAGTTTCTGTCAATCCTATGTCCATTGTCCTTGACCTTATTTTCATAGTTCAGCGACTGTTTGAAAAAAAATTTGAGTTTTTTTGTGATGTGAATTTCTCACTTACTATGAGTAATGGGATAAATAGATTTAGTATATGGGTTCCTTGCAACGTCTACTTGTCCATCAGACAGAGTTCACCTGACCTCGACCTCATTTAATGGATCAGTGATCAAGGTTAAAGTTACGTGATTAGGTCCGTTTCTCAAATACTATAATCAGTAGGTCAACTATATTTGGTGTATGGAATGATTGTAATGGGTACATGTCAGTCTGGCAGGTTTCATCTGACCTTGACCTCATTTTCATGGTTCATTGATCAATGTTAAGGTTTTGTGTTTTTATCTGTTTTTCAAGTATTATAAGCAATAGGTCAACTATATTTGGTGTATGGAATAATTGTAAAGTGTACATGTCTGTGATGCAGGTATCATCTGACCTTGACCTCATTTTCACGGTTCATTGGTCAATGTTAAGTCTTTGTCTGTTTTTCAAGTACTATAAACAATAGATCAACTATATTTGGTGTATGGAATAATTGTAAGGTGCACATGTCTGTCTGGCAGGTATAATCTGACCTTGACCTCATTTTCATGGTTCATTGGTCGATGTTAAGTTTTTTTTTGTTTTGGTCTATTTTTCAATTATCATACACAAAAGGTCAACTTTATTTGGTGTATGGAATAACTGACCTAGACCTTATTGTCATAGATCTTTAATAATGTAAAGTTTCTGTAATGCCTTTAGTAAAACCTTTATCTTTAAGACTTTCAACATAAAATCAATGGTCAGTAAAGCAGGTGAGACATTTCAGCGTGTGCACTATTGTTTTATGACAGTAGGAATTTGTACCTCGAAAATTACTAAACTGCTTTGTGGACAGCTCTAGTTGCCCTTGAAAGAGATTTTTACCCATTTTTGAGTATTTTGCAGAAACGTCAAGAAATAGGGAGAAAGTGTAAATAGCAAAAATTTTCAGCACATTAAATTCTACAAAAAGTCAACATGGCTGAAATCTTGAATTGAAGACTTGATAGGAGTTATTTCCCTTCAAGGATGAATTTTACCCATTGTTGATGAAACTTTTATAGATTGAGAGAAGCTTTAAATAGTAAAATGATCACCAAAATAAGATCTACAATAGGTCAACATGGTGGATTTATAAAAATAAGAAGATGTATACCACATCTACAACCACTGAATTACTGGCTCCTGAGTTTGGACAGGAACATATAGAATGTGGCGGGGTTAAACTAGTCTGCTGGCTCCAAACCCTCCCCCTAACTTGGACAGTGGTGTAACAATACATGATAAGAACAAATAGTCGACTTATAGGAGTTATTGCCCTAGAAAAGTTGACCTATTTTATTGGGTAAAGATTGCAAGAAATGCAATCAAAACCCTAATGGTACTGACTTAATATCTATAAACAAGGAATTATTTGAATCTGGAATAATTTTGAATTCTGGAACATTGATAAAAAATGTATGATAAAAACTAACCTAACTAAAGAGGGTAAGCGATGTGCGCATTGCTAAGGTTAAATTTACTTTCACTGATATTTCAGTATGAACTAACTAACCCCCTTAGCCATGCATGCATGGCTAACCCTCCTAAATTTGGTTAGTTTACATCTTACATTTCTTATCAATTTTCCAGAATTCAAAATTATTCCAGATTCAAATAGTTCTTTGATTATATCTAATTAGGTTTAATTATCACTACCTTTGATAGTTCAAACAAAATATTGCAGTGAAGTAATCATTCTTTAGAGCTTATCCAGTCAATGTCATGCAATTTATTGATGATATGTTAAACTTAGATATTTAAGTTACAATATAATATGATATGTATTTGAATTACCATACTTGTCAAAAAAAAAAACAGTTTAATTGAAAATTACGTGAGTAATGCATAGTATATAAACTGTTATGAAAAATAGGTTTAAGTTCTACACGTTTACAATCATTAAGAAAGAAAGATAACTCTAACTCAAATTTGATAATTTTCCTAGCAAATACAAGTTAATGCCACAAAAATGTGAAATGAAAGCAATCTTTACACTTCAGCGCTCACATGCACATTGATTCCAGATTAACTATGATAGCTAGAGAGAAATAGTAAACACAAAAATGTTTAGTACAATAAGATCTACCAATAAGTTAACATTGCTCTTGAAAGATTAGTTTTACTCATTTTTCTAGTTTTTTTTCAAAAACTTAACAAAAAGTCTCAATTTTGTCTTTTTGACCCATGTTATTTTTATTTTCTGCTTTTAATCTTTTTAACAATAATGAATACACAGAAATTTGGTCCATCCAAAATGACTAGCAAGACAGGTTTTGGTCCAAAAATTGTAAAATGCCCCCTAATAGGATTCTTTGCCCTTGAAAGATGGTTTTTACCCATTTTATGCATTTTTTGCGTAAACCATTATAGTCAGAGTGAAATTTTAAGTTCAATACAATAAGATCTAGAAACAAGTCATCATGGCTGAAATTGTCAACTGATTCTATATATGAGTTATTGCTGGGAATGATAATTTTCACCTTTTTTTTCTCATTTTTGTCATACAAAAGTAGATAGTGGAAATTTTAAAAAGCAAACTATGATCTACTTTACAAACTGATTGCAGTACATGTAAAAAGAAATATTAATATGGTATATTTTTACCAGGTGAGGGATTCAGGCTCTTGGGAGCCCTTGTTTCAAAGTATACTTTCATTGAGTGATTGATGTTTCATGAATGCATACAACTGATATTTTGTTATTCCCATGTCGATAAGGTACCTTGACAGTCTGAGCGGGTTATTTGGGATAAAAATTTATATGCTCTGCTTATGTTAATAACGTCTAATTCTCCTATTTGTGAGTTATGTTTAAAAGTGACTAAAACACTCAACTCAGCATCAATAATTTTTTGTCATCAATAAGTAAAATGAATTTGGTTGCAGGTACTACAGTGCTACAATTATCCAAATGACAGGGGTTAGAAGCCAGTCTACTGCAATTTGGTTAGCAGCAGTTACTGCTTTTGTCAATTTTATATTCACATTGGTTGGAGTTTGGCTTGTTGATAGAATAGGAAGAAGAAAACTTATTTTGTCCAGTTTAGCTGGTAAGTGAAATATTTACTGCACAGGAAGATTGCACATATGTTGAAGTTGTGCACCTGCTATTTTGGAATTGTTGTAGGAATTTTTTCTATTTTTCCAGACTTTGGAACTTAGTTTTTTTCAGCAAAATTTATGAAAAAAGGTACAAGTTTTGTGTAATCAACTCTTTCTACAGTTTTCAACCCAGATCACTGAAACTACACAAGAAGATTGCACACATGTTGAAGTTGTGCACTTGGTATTATGGAATGTTTTGTCTCATTTTCCAAACTTGACAACTTAGTCATGTTTCAGCCAAATTTATGAAAGAGGGTTTTCAACCAAGATCTCTAAGACTTCACAGAAAGATTGTACACATGTTGAAGTTGTGCACCTGCTATTATGGAATTGCTTTTTGAAGATTTTTTCACATTTTTCTGGACTTGGGAACTAAGTTATTTTCCAGCAAAATTTACAATCTTTGTGTAATTGCAACTACATTGTAAACATTATTCATTGATTAGTCCCAAATATTGCAAACCAACCAATTGAGACTTTGACCCATGTTCGTGTATTATCTTGAAAACTATTATAGATAGATAGAAACTTTTAAAATGCAAAAGTGATAAGCAGGATATCTACAATATGTCAAGATGGTAGAAATTGTCAGTCAACCCTTTAAAGGAGTTATTGTCCTTTAATGGTGATTTTTACACATTTTTCCACTTTTGGACAAAACTTTGACGAAAAAAGAAAAAAAGCAAAAAATAATCAAGACAAGATCTACGAATAGGTGAACATAGCCAAAATTGTCAGTTGACTCCTTATAGGAGTAATAGCCCTGAAATGATGTACTTAACCATTTGTTTTTAGTATTTTGGAGAGTATATAGAGAGAAAAGGTAAACAGTAAAAAGACCAGCAAGACATGATCAACAAAGTCATGAATTATGTTCTAATCTACAATGTTAGAGAGTGGCTATACTTGGAAGATGCACATAGATTCAGTTAAGCAAAACAAGCTCTTAGAGCCTCTAGTTTAAGATCTCAATAAAATCAATAGCTCCCCAAACATAGAAAAACAGTTAAAAAAATATCAATCAGTACATTAACAAAAGGTACATGAGAGAACATACAATAAAAATGAGGACATAAAAACCACTAAAATCTAAAATATTGGTAAATATATAAAAAAACATAAGTTCAAACAAAAGAATGATACACACAATAGTATACAATATTAAGGAATGCTGTCAGATATAATAAGAAAGCTCATGTTCTTAATCTGCTAACATGAAATCATGCCGTCCTACACTGTTAAAGAAGTCTTGACTTTTTTTTTCAGGAATGGCCTTGATTAGTTCAAGAGCAAAGAGTGAATTGGTTCATTGACTTTTCCTTAATGCAGTAGACATATATAAAACTAAGAAGATAATGTATGATTGCCAATGAGACAGTAATGATTTATCCACCAGAGACCAATGACTTAGAGTTTAGCAACTATAGTTCACTGTACATGTACAGCCTGCAACAATGAGCAAAACCCATACCGCATAGTAAGCTATAAAAGGCCCTGACAAATGTAAAACAATTCAAACAAGAAAAACTAACAGCCTAGATAAATTGTAAATTGAATAGAATTGCAGTTGGATAAGGATATGTAAAATTTCTTATCTTTTCTATGATTGATTTTGAGGTATCTGACTTTAAACTAGAATTGCTTATTTCAGTTAGTTTTGCTCAAAATTTTGTAAAGTTGGCCTGGTAGATGCTGTTCCTTTAAACATGTTAAAATAAAATACATTCCAGAAATAATCAATTGAAATTTTTTTAGATAAAAAATATTTACATAAAAGTGTTATCATTTATCAGCAAAAAGTTCAGATTTTGGAAATTAAACCAGAAAAAGACAAGATAGTACAGAAATTCATATTGCCATACAAAATCATTGATAAGGTATCAATTTGATCATGTTGATGACAGAAAAATAAACGCAATTAAGATATCATTCCAAATCCATAACTACAAAACATCTTCAGAAAGTGTTTCTGCATCTGGAAAATTTGAGATAATGACAATTTTCCTGTTTAATTGCTCTTTTAGAACAATAGAAAAGATAAAATATTTATTTATTACTTCTATGTTAATCTGATGTAATCCTCTCATATCTTCGGGGCTAACGCTCCTCAGATATGAGAGGTTTACATCTAATACATACATATTTACATGAAAGTGTTATCATTTATCAGCAAAAAGTTCACATTTTGACAATTAAACCAGAAAAAGACAAGATAGTACAGAAACTCATATTGCCATACAAAGGATACAAAGTAACAATTTGAAGACAGAAAAAATGAAGCAATTAAGATTTCATTCCGAATCCATAACTTCAAAACATCTTCAGATAGTGTTACTGCATCTGGACAATTTGAGATAATGACACTTTTCCTGTTTTATCAAAACTAATTGCTCTTGTTAGAACAAGTGAAAAGATAAAATATTTATTAATTACTTCTGTGTAAATCAGATTTTATCCTCTCATGTCTTAGCCAGACAAAGATGTCCAACATTTCATTGTCGGCTCAGTGTAAGGGGCTGCAACATTTAACGTGAGGGACAGTTTTTTCACCGATGTGATCCAGACAAAAGGTTTTATTCTGTGTTTATTTTGTCATGTTTGTAGACGTATCCTTATTTACTATATATTTACACCGATTTAATTTTGAATCCATATTGAATAATAGAAAAATCTGTGTGTTCTGACCTCGAAACGATCCATAATTCTGTAATGAGAAGTACCCAAATTGCATCCATGCTTAAATTCACATCCTTTAAAATCGAATAACAAATGTTTTGTTTTATTTCTTCAAATATTTAGAACAATTTGACATTAGTCGATGCTTACTATTCATTTTTTAAGAAATGGATGCTTGTAACATATTTTATTTGCTCATTTTTAAAAGATGACTTTTTGTGAACGTCGCCATGCGACGTTTCTGTAGATTTTACTTTTTCCAGTGAATGCGTCATCTGTTGATATATTGTGAACTTTTTGTGTCATAAAAAGTACAAATTGTTTAGTCTCAAAGAAAACTTGTAAGATTTCCTCAGCTTTTTTTTGTTGAATAGGTGCAATTTGGGTACTGTGACGTTAGGTTCAGACGGTGGTTAAAGGTTTTAAAACTTCCATAAATTTCTTAAATCTTAATGGAATTTTATGAAAATTGGACAGAAGCTTTATCATGATCAAAAAGATAGTTGAACCTTCATAGAATTTTGTATAGCTTTTTTATGATTAAGAGATAATGTCTGAATCAAAATTTTAAATGTAATTGTTTTATTTTTCTGTATTTTACTGATAATTACACTTAATTTGTTTTGCAGTTAACAATTAGTCAGGGATTACATTTTTTGAAGCATCAGTCACGTTGTTAAACCTTCATTTAATGTTTTGAAATTTGAAAATAAACTTCAAGATCAAGGAATAGCATTTGCAGAAAAAAAGTTTGATACTTTTTTGTACTTTTTTGGTATTTAACTGATAAAACGTCTTAGTTTTTGTCAATCAACTTTACACTTTTACACTGACAGCAGCAATCGCAGGCTGAAGACATAGGGTTTTTTGCAACCTTTTATGAGTTCTTTAACTTAAAATTAAATATATATATGATATGAAAATAAGAAGATGTAGTATGACTGCCAATAAGACAAGTCACTACCAGAGACTAAATGACATTGAAGTTAGCAACTATAGTGACCATAAGGCCTTCAACAATGAGCAAAACCCATACCTCATAAAACGCCCCAACATGACAAATGTAAAACAATTCCAAAGAGAAAACTAATGTCCTGATGTATGTACAAAACAATAAACATAAAACAATTATGATATACAGCAACAAACAAAATTCACTCCATAATACATTTTCAACAGTCCAATTTTTTAATTCTTTTGAACAAATTCATTCACCTATGTCAGTCATTTCAAGTTTTTATCGGTCAAATTATTTGGACTGACACACAATCTTTTCAAAAACTCTGCATAACAACTATCAACATATATACTCAGAAATTCTGCTCAGTTTGCATATTGAAAAAAATCAGAAGATTTGTCACAGAGTCTAGAATGCCAGGCACATTTTTTCTTAGACATTTTTTCATAGAATTGACCTATGAATGAAATTAAAACCAGACGCAAAAATTACATGCCATTCCACCTGATATATTTCTTTTAAAAAAATGGGTCAAAAACAATTCTTTCATCGAGCCAGGACGAAATTATTTGACAGGTGGAAACTTGTCTGTAATTATATTTTCATGATTGTATGCATTTTAATTGGAATTGATATGCGTTTTCTTATTTCATAAAATTAGGTAACTGATAATTGTTTTACCGGCCATATTTGTTATGAAACTATTTTGTGACTTGTATTAAAGGATCTTATCTTGTACTAATTTAAAAAAGGGGAATACTTGCAGGCATGCTTATTGCTGACTTTGGTGAATGCCTTTCCCAGCACCTTTTGCTCTTTGATTTATTACTCTTCTATGAACAAAGGTGAATGGCCGACTAAAGGTTTCCACCCTATCTGTCAGTCAGTATGTTATACTTAAATATTATGTACATGTTATGCTTTAATTTATCAAGTAGATATTTAGGATATACTATAGTCTCATCAGAAGTTACAATGTTCTAGTTAAGTGAATTTCATTTTTGAATGTAAACAAATGCATATGATTTGAATTTAAAATAAAAGGAGATTTGGTCTATACGTAATGAGACAACAACTCAACCACAATGAAATAACTAAAAAACAACATGTTAAATAAATTTTCATTGGATTCCAATTCTTCTATATCATTAAAACCTTTTCTTTGCACATATTTGAATTCATTTTTTTTAGTCTAAGAACACATCAAATATTAATGCAAAACATCATGCATCTCATATAATTTAGATCTATATAGTTGTTTTCAATAACCTGATATCCTCTTAATTTTTACCATGTACATGTATATAAAAAAAATTTCACAGTTAGTGTATAATTTTGCTTTTAATATCAGAACTCATGTGTAATGTAATGATGTCTAAATCAAGAGTGTTTTTATGCCCCCGCCGTAGCGTAGGGATCATTAAGTTTTACCCTTGTCCGTCTGTACGTATGTACGTACGTACGTTATTACATCAGTACGTCCCAAAATTGGTTTCCGTTCTCTAACTTGAGTTTGCCTAAACCAAATGTTATGAAACTTATACACAATGCTTATTACCACAAAATACAGATCAAGTTTTAATTTTGGTGGGGTCACTTTAACCGTTCTAGAGTTATGCCCCCTTATTAATGGAAAAATTCCAAAATTTTTAGTCTCCGTTCTCTAACTAAAGTTTGCCTCAACCAAATGTTATGAAACTTATACACAATGCTTATTACCACATAATACAGATCAAGCATGAATTTTGGTAGCATCACTCTAACTGTTCTAGAGTTATGCCCCTTTATAAATGAAAAAATTACAAATTTTTTAGTTTCCGTTCTCTAACTTAAATTTGCCTCTACCAAATGTTATGAAACTTATACACAATGCTTATTAGGACAAAACACAGATCAAGATTGAATTTTGGTGGGGTCACTTTAACCATTCTCGAGTTATGCCCCTTTATAAATGGAAAAAAAAAATGCAAAATTTTTAGTTTCCTTTCTCTAACTTAAGTTGCCTCAACCAAATGTTATGAAACATATACACAATGCTCATTACCACAAAACACAGATCAAGTTGAATTTTGTGAGCGTCACTTTAACCATTATCGAGTTATGCCCCTTTATAAATCGAAAAAAATTGCTAAATTTTTAGTTTCCGTTCTGTAACTTAAGTTTGCCCCAAACATTATGAAACCTATACACAATACTTATTACCACAAAACTCAGATCTAGTACAAATTTGGGTAGGGTCACTTTTATTGTTTTTGAGTTATGTCCCTTTATAATGTTGTATGCAAGCGGGGGCATCATCTGTGTCCATGGGGACACATTTTCCATTTATTTCCATTTTTTTTTTTTGCAGGTGTCTTATTTTCTTTGGTTGTTTTGGCAGTTGGATTTCAGGTGACTGCTTTGAATTCTCCACCAGTTACTACATTTGAAAGTTCATCAAACAATTCTGAGTGTTTTCAGTACAGGTAATTTTGATCAAATATTTGGAAGGTATGTTTTGAGAAAAGTTTTTTAGATACACCTAATTATATAGCCTTAATTTTATACCCCTCATCAAAGACGGGAAGTATTATGATGGATTATACCAATGTCAGTCAGTTAGTCTGTCTGTCAGTCAACGCTTCATACGATAACTGAAATTTGCTTTAACCAATTCTCATGTTATTTTGACAACATCATGAACATATTAGGATTGATGGAAGAAAGTTCCCTATGATTTTGAAAATTTTTGGTTTTGTCGTTCCAGAGTTACGGGACTTTAACTGTTTGAATTATGGTAATTTTTCACATATATAAAATTGAGAATGGAAATGGGGAATGTGTCAAAGAGACAACAACCTGACCATAGAGCAGACAACAGCCGAAGGCCACCAATGGGTCTTCAATGCAGCGAGAAACTCCCGCACCCGGAGGCGTCCTTCAACTGGCCCCTAAACAAATATGTATACTAGTTCAGTGATAATGGACGTCATACTAAACTCCAAATTATACACAAGAAACTAAAATTAAAAATGATACAAGACTAACAAAGGCCAAAGGCTCCTGACTTGGGACAGGCGCAAAAATGCGGCGGGGTTAAACATGTTTTTTGAGATCTCAACCCTCCCCCTATACGTCTAGCCAATGTAGAAAAAACAAACGTACAACAGTACGCACATTAAAACTCAGTTTAAGAGAAGTCCAAGTCTAATGTCAGAATAGGAAACAAAAGAAAATAAACAAAATGACAATAATACATAAATAACAACAGACTACTAGCAGTTACTGACATGCCAGCTCCAGACCTCAAAATATGAGAAGAACAAGAATAAATATGTTTAATTCCGATGCAAAGACCCTATAAGTGAATCAATATTAAAGCCAAAATATGCAATTTTTAATGACCTGACAACAGTATCGTAACTAGTGTCATCAGTGTCTGATAAAAAAAATTAATTAGTCAGGGTTGAAGAACGTAACGTCCTTTTTTTCAAAACATTCAATGGAAAGTACCAAGACCTAATAGATAAATATTTAGTGTCTACTTCACAAATAATACAGGATGGGTCATAGATTCTAGTTGCTGACGTTGTGTATCACTTTATTTACTTTACAGTTTTCCCTTTTTAAACGGATTTTCGAAGGAAATATCTGTTATTGATTTGGTAATGTACGGTAGGGCGGGCGGTTGGCTGCCAAACAGTGTCCGTTCAATAACATGAAAATGCTTTGATGAAATTTGTTTAAATTTAGATATGTTGTTTCCTGTGACTAAATGAAGGTCAAATTCAATTTTCACAATTTTAGCTTTTCTCCTTGTTGAGTTATCGCTCTTTTAAATATCCAAAAGTGGTATTTTTTGTCTTTGTACTATTATGTTCCTTTTGGTCGTATGACTCTTAAAGTGGCTATTTGTGCATTCAGCTTGCAGGTTTTTTCTGCTTTGAGCTTCGGTGATGCAAGTGGGTACAGAGGTGAGATTTGGATGCTTGAGGTTTTTATAGTGTTGTTTTCATATTGTATACCCTTAGATTTATATTTTACTTAATTTGTAATTTAAAGGGATTGTGTTTTACTTTACTGTATGTACTATCAACTACGATTTTTTTTATTGCATCTTTGTCAGATTTATTTGTATGATTGTTGAATTTTCAAGTCAGTTGTATTGTACGTCTTCGATGTATGTTAACTCAGTTTTGGCTGCTAGATCCAAATTATTGTCACGTTAACCAATTACGTCTGTTTAAAACGAGGAATAATTTGAATCTGGAATAATTTTGAATTCTGGAAAATTGATAAGAAACTGATTAAAAGATTATGTCTTCATCATATGAATATCAGGCACAATCCTTCCTGTTAAGGGTTTAGTATTATACCATCATAAAATATATGAGAAGAACAAGAATAAATATGTTTAATTCTGATGCAAAGACCCTATAAGTGAATCAATATTAAAGCCAAAATATGCAATCTTTAATGACCTGACAACAGTATCGTAACTATATCCCTTCTTAATAAGTCTGTTTAAAGGTTTTGTTAGCTTTTGAGGTGAATACTGACATTTTTGTGCTTTGTAAAGAATATTACCATAAAAGATTGGATGTGAAATACCCGAACGTATAAGATGTGTGCATGTTGAGTTATATTTACGAATGATGTCCTTATACCGATGATAAAATTTAGTAAATGTTTTGACTAGTTTATGATATCGAATACCCTGGTGTAATAATTTTTCAGTAATACATAAATTTCTCTCGCTAAAATCTAATACGTTATTACATACACGAGCGAATCGTACAAGTTGAGATATATAAATACCATAAGATGGTGACAAGGGAACGTCACCATCTAAAAATGGATAATTAACGATAGGAAATGAAAAATCATCTCTTTTGTCATAAATTTTTGTATTAAGCTTCCCGTTAATGATATAGATATCAAGATCGAGGAAAGGACAGTGGTCATTGTTAGTATTAGCTTTATTTAAAGTAAGTTCAACAGGATAAATTTCTTTAGTATACATACTAGTCGTCATTATTGAGAGCCAATGTATCATCCAAATATCTAAAAGTATTGTTAAATTTTTGTATCAGATGTTGTTTCGATGGGTCTTTGCTGATTTTAGTCATAAATTGTAACTCATCACAATACAAAAACAGGTCCGCAATAAGGGTGCACAGTTAGTCCCCATTGGAATTCCGATAACTTGACGATATACGGAATCTCCAAAGCGAACAAAAATGTTATCAAGTAAAAATTCAAGGGCAGATATAGTATCAAATGTATGTCTTTGTTTGTAAATCCTATTACTATTTTTGTTTAATCAGGGAATTAAATGAACATTCGGGTAATCCAACGTTCAAAAACATAACTTTGGATAAGGATGAGATCTTGGCAAACCATAAGTCCTTCATGGCCATATTGAATATTCCATTGAGCAACAAATCTGAGGACTTAACTTGTTGTATTGAGAACCTAAACTTCACAAACTCCCTACAAACAACAGTACATTGATGGCTTATCAGCATGTTCTACCAAGGAATTGTCCGTTAGATTAACCAAAATTTTTTCCGCATTGAAAGAGGGATTACAGAAATACTGTGATACTGTTTTACTTGCATAGTGGCATAAACCATATGTGGATTCTTAGGAACTGGAAAGAACTTCTGCAAATTTTTAAATCTTGGTCATTCTCTGAAATAAATTCTATCAAATCCTTAAACTTTTCTACCCTTAACACCACCATACCACATGTTAAATTGAAAACCCATTCTTTTCTGCCTTTTCTTATATTCATATGAGTCAGAGTTCCTTCAGACACTTATAAAAAACAAAAAAATCAAAAGAAGCTAGATCATTTAATTTCACATACAGGTATAATGAGGATAGTCTTTACATTAACAATCCAAAGTGATCTGATTTGGTTCCATTATTATATACTTCTGAACTAGGTTTAAAGAAACCACTGATACATCTTCCTACACTGGTTTTTAGACATATACCTGGAATTTGACTACAGAGGCCATCTCAGTACCAGCGTCTATGACAAACTAGATGATTTTAATTTTGAAATTATAAATTTTCCTCACGTTCCAGCAATATTCCAACTTCACTTGTGTTTGGATATAAAAATAAGAAGATGTGGTATGATTGCCAATGAGACAACTCTCTGCAAGAGACCAAATGACGCAGAAATTAACAACTATAGGTCACTGTACGGCCTTCAACAATGAGCAAAACCCATACCGCATAGTCAGCTATAAAAGGACCCGAAATGACAAATGTTAAGCAATTCAAACAAGAAAACCAACAGCCTAATTTATGTACAAAACAATGAACGAAAAACAAATGTTACACACCACTGAATTACAGGTTCCTGACTTGGGACAGGCACATACTTAATGTGGCGGGGTTAAACTAGTTTGAAGGCGCAACCCTATAGTATACATTTCTCAACTCCTATGATATTCAAAAGCTTGAATCTGCTACTCTGACTTTGTCAAAAGTCATCAGTGTCTGATAAAAAAAATTAATTAGTCAGGGTTGAAGAACGTAACATCCTTTTTTTCAAAACATTCAATGGAAAGTACCAAGACCTAATAGATAAATATTTAGTGTCTACTTCACAAATAATACAGGATGGGTCATAGATTCTAGTTGCTGACGTTGTGTATCACTTTATTTACTTTACAGTTTTCCCTTTTTAAACGGATTTTCGAAGGAAATATCTGTTATTGATTTGGTAATGTACGGTAGGGCGGGCGGTTGGCTGCCAAACAGTGTCCGTTCAATAACATGAAAATGCTTTGATGAAATTTGTTTAAATTTAGATATGTTGTTTCCTGTGACTAAATGAAGGTCAAATTCAATTTTCACGATTTTAGCTTTTCTCCTTGTTGAGTTATCGCTCTTTTAAATATCCAAAAGTGGTATTTTTTGTCTTTGTACTATTATGTTCCTTTTGGTCGTATGACTCTTAAAGTGGCTATTTGTGCATTCAGCTTGCAGGTTTTTTCTGCTTTGAGCTTCGGTGATGCAAGTGGGTACAGAGGTGAGATTTGGATGCTTGAGGTTTTTATAGTGTTGTTTTCATATTGTATACCCTTAGATTTATATTTTACTTAATTTGTAATTTAAAGGGATTGTGTTTTACTTTACTGTATGTACTATCAACTACGATTTTTTTTTTTTGCATCTTTGTCAGATTTATTTGTATGATTGTTGAATTTTCAAGTCAGTTGTATTGTACGTCTTGGCTGCTAGATCCAAATTATTGTCACGTTAACCAATTACGTCTGTTTAAAACGAGGAATAATTTGAATCTGGAATAATTTTGAATTCTGGAAAATTGATAAGAAATGTATGATGAAAACTAACCAAACTTAAGAGGGTTAGCCATGCGCATGCGCATGGCTAAGGTTAATTTTACTTTCACTGATATTTCAGTATGAACTGACTAACCCCCTTAGCCATGCATACATGGCTA